GAAAGTAACTGAAGGGCTAGGGACAGAAATTACACATAAACCAGTATAAGTTATCAAAAACCGGTTAAAATCTGAAACACAACGGAAGTTCAGTGCACATAAACTGCTTTCAAAATGGCTGAAACTGGCTTAAGATAAGCCTGGATAGATGTAGCTTTGCAGGGTGGGCAGGCTAGCCTTGGCCCAAGCTAGCTGGCTTTAGCTGAGCAAGGTGTGTTCTAGTGCCCCCTGGCTTCTGGCCTGGGCCACTGCAGGCATGTGGCTGCATTTCCACAATCAAAAGTAAATATGTGCTCACTTGCTTATCAGTTCAATCTACACAGCTTAGACTAACCTGCAAAGACTGAACTGATTCAGATTCAGGCTTTTTGACTGTCTGTACTTAGCCATGAGCAACAGCTAGAGAGTTGAGCCTGCTCATTCTTCTGCTCCCTGTGGATCATGTGTAGACTTTACTTTTGCTTTTGTCTGGTAAGTGGCAGAAACTGCTCTTCTGTATTTTCTTACAGATAGTGCATTTTCTTGCATGCTCCAATTTCTAGCAGATAGTTTTTGGAAAAAAAGGTGCTGCTGCAGACAAGAAAATATGGTATATAAAAAGATGCCTATTACTTATAGCTGAATGTACAGTAGATACCACAATATAATCCTTTCCTTCAACAAAGCTGCCCAGACCAGCCTCCTATGCCCTACTTCACCTTGGAGGGAAAGTTTTCTCTACAGATGATAGCATGGCCCTCTGATCTCAAGACATGATGGAGGTAGATATCATCATCCGAAGATGTGTCACACAGGAAGAGGTGAAGAACTCCATTTACATATTCATCCACCACTCCAACCAGAGGCTTCAGGCTGCACAGCTTCTGGAACCGGAGAACTGCTTTGGATGTCCAGGTTCCCTTGGAAAAATGAGGAATAAACAGATTACTGTAAACAGCTCATCACTAGTCAAGTAATTCTTCTGTTCACTCCAAGGATGTTTAGTGCAAGAAACAAGGTACACTGTAGGCTGCAAAACAAATGGACCAGGTTTGAAGTGCAAGACATTTGGGGACACGCAACATACTCCAAAATGAACCAGACAAGCTTCCCAGCACTAAATTAACTTAGACGCCCAGCTTGTAAAGATCTGCAATAATACAGTTATCACTGGAGTGACACTTTCAAGTTCATATTTTCAAAGGCTATAAGGTCAATGCCTTGCAATTTTACTATATCTTCAAGTATTTAGCGTTTTCCTTGAAGCCTCAGCCCAGTTATACAATGGTGAGAATCTCAGATTTTACTTAACAAAATGTTTTCTATCCCTCTAGGCTGTAAACAAATGATTGAAAATGCAAAACTTAATGCTCAGAACCTAAAGCTAATAGAAGAACCCATATTTTTAAACACAACAAAAAAACCTCGATTTCTTTAATAAGTAAGGTTGCTTGCAATCCTCCCCTCTTCCAGGTTCATATTTCTCATGCTTGTCAACCCAGGTGAAATAATGTTTGTTCTAAGAAAGTCTGATGGAAATTTATTCATCTACTGTTAAGTTATTGGAGTACAAAGAAAAAAAAAAAGGCAGCAATCCTGCTATAAAGGAGCTATGGGCTACCTCTAAAAGGGGTCCTCTTTTGCTAAAGAGGTTCTCACTAAAGTAAAGCTTAATCTAGTAAGAATGTGAAAGGCAGAAGAAACTGGCTTGCATTTCTCAAGTCTCCAAAAGGGTCACAAATAGGCATGGAGGAGAGCAAGCTGATATATTTCCCTAATGAATATCATAAAAACAAATTTTAAGACAGAATGAAAACAAGTATGTTATGAATGCTCTGAAAGGGAACAAGGACTGGAGGAAAAACTTACTGACATAAAAAAGGCATACAACCTGATTTTGTCTCCTGCAGGGCCCAGTTCCTCTTAACCGGGGCAGGTAATTATTTTGGATGGAGGGCTGCTTACCAAGTTTTGGCAAGCTACTGAGGGCCACAAGGGTAGCCCTACCCCTTGACAGGTGTCCCGCCCCCCGGGTTGCCATCTTGGGACCGGAAGTCCCGCCCCCCTAACCTCTGACTGTTGCCACAGGAAGTTCCTCCCCTTGTCCCTGGGAGTACGCCTTTTGGGAAGAGGGTTTGCCACCTTAGAATGAGGAAAAAAGCCCCACAAATTATATACTAAAAATCAAACACCCATAACATTTAAATTTAATTTTTTTTAAATATTGTTGTCCTGATTTTTGTGCGTTTGTCCTGTATATGTAGAAGTGATTACATAATAGCTCAAAATGCAGTTTTACTCTTGTATGTTGTGTGGGGTGTGCAGAAGTGTGGGGGGTATGGGTGGATGTGGGTGGGTATGGGGGATTTGTGGTGATGGGCTGAAGTGTGTGCAAGTGGGTATGGGATTTGTGGGGGCTGTGGGGTGTGTGGGGAGGGAGGGTGGCTGGGAGTGTGTATGCATGTGTGTGTGGTGAGGTGTGCATGCGTAGCCGTGAGCAGGGCTCCCCGCAAAGGCGCGAGGGCGTGTGGGCACAGTATTTGTGGGGTATGTGATTGTGTGTGGGGGACGGTGTGGCTGTGGGGTTTGCAGGAAGGGTTTGAGGGCATGTGGGGTGTGCACCCCCCTGCATGCGCCCCCTGAGCCGGTCAGCACCCGCCCCCACCCTGCAAAAGCCCAGAGCCTGTGCGCCCTGTGGTGCCTCCCCACCACTGCCAACAGCGCACAGCCCCCTTATGACTACTCTGGGACTGTCACACCATGGCGTGTCCTGGTAGCAGTAGGGACCAGCACAAGCAGCTGCGACCCTGCACACGCTGCACCAGCTCTAGGCTCTCCCATCCTGGCTGAGCAGCAGCAGCAGCAGGGCAGAAACTGTTGCTCAGCATGAGGGGAAAGCAGCCCCCACCCTTGCCTCTGGCAGGCAGTTTTTGGTGCAACTGCCCAGAGCCCACACTGCACTAGGCTGCCCTGTAGCTCTGTTACTGCCACCTCTGGGTTGTCCTGTGGCTACTCCACAGTTACCACTGCCATGCTGGGCAGCCCAGAGGCAGTGGTGACAGAGCTGCAGGGCAACCCGGCACAGGACAGGCTCTGGGCAGCCACACCAAAAACCATCCAGCGGTAGTAAGGGGGAGAGGTCGCTTTCCCCCATGCCAAGCAACAGCTTCTGCTCATCTGTTGCTGCCACTCCGCCTGGATGGGCAAGCCCAGAGCTGGTGCTGGGGCCCAGGCTCAAAAGCAGCAGCAGCATGGGAAAGAAACTGCTACTTAGCAGCAGGAAAGCAGCCCCTCTGCCTCCTGCTACTGGCACTTCCCGATGCAGCTGCTCAGAGCCCGCAAAGGGCTGCCTTGCATCTGCTCTGTGCTGCCACTGCTGCCCCACAGGGCAGCCCAGAGGTGGTGGAGATGGAGTGGAGGCACAGGGCAGCCCCGCGCAGGCTTCAGGCAGCTGTACCAGGAAGCACCAGCCAGGAGGAGGGGGAGGGGCTGCTTTCCCCCCACACTGAGCAGCACTTTGTCCCATGCTGCCGCTGCCCAGCCCAGACGGGCAAGTGCGAGGCATGCGGAGTCAGGGCTGTGCACACTGGTCCCCACCTGTGCCACAGGGCTGAAGCAGGGAGGAGTGGGAGCGGGGAGTTATGCAGCAACAGCCAGGGAGAGCATGGGGCCCACGCCGATGTCCCAGGGGGCCCAAAGCAGGGCGGCAGGAGCGTAGAGTCCCAGTCAGCAGGGGCTCTATGGAGTCGGGTCAGCTCCCCTCTCCCCCTGCTGGCACAACCCAGCCCATAGACCCCTGCCAGCCCACACCCCACACTGCTGCTGCCCTGCTCTGGGCCCCACCAGCACTGGCCCTGGGACACCAGCGCAGGCCCCACACTCCTGCACACCTGCTCGCTTCCACTCCACCCCCCCCCCTTTCCCACCTGCTGCGGGTTGCTCCTGCACCACATGGCTCCCAGCTGCACAGCCATGACTGCAAGACTCAGCAGGAGCTGGTCCAGCCCTGAAGACTGCAATCACTTGCAGTCCTCCCCTGCCTCCCTCCCTTCACCCCCCACCCCCACGTTCTTACCTGAATTTCCTTCCAGCGCAGGCAGGAACAGCCCCACGGTCCCAGGCCAGAAGCCTCTGCTAGACAGGGGCTTCCAGTTAGGGGAGAGATGACAGGGCTAGGCAGGCCTTGCTGCTGCTGAGCCTTGCTGGTTTCTCCTGGCTCTTGTCATCTTTGACAAGCAGCCAGGGGCAGATAAATATTAATTTTCTAAGTTTTTTAGGGCCCCCGCGGGCCAGATAAAATGGTCTGATGGGTGGGATTGAGCCCATGAGCCGTATTTTGCCCACCCTTCCTCTTAACTAAATTAAGAGTGAAATTAGGCCCAGTTTCTCAACACCAATATTCCTGAGTTTGTTTCAGATTGATTAGATGCCGATGTCTGCCTAACAGTCCTGTTATGGAGTACAAGAGGGAAAGACTGTAGATGGACAATTACCTCCAGAGGTTTCACCCACGCCAGGGAACATGGGATAGCTTGGGCAGGAAGTTTTGAGTAGCAGCATCTGAAACAGGAATCAAATCCATTACTCTTTGGTTATATATTGGGATCTAAAAAAAAACAGAACAGTACAAAGCTGCTGGGAGCCACTTGTTTTCTTGATCTTATAATCCAAAGACACCTCGCATTTGTATTTTTAAATTATGTTCTTGAAAGATACCCAAACAACAGCCTTAAAATACAACTAGATGTGCACCAATATATCAGTACTGATAATATTGGTGCACAATATTATAATGATCAATATTATATATTGATATAATATATCAATAGGATTAGCACTGATAAAATAAAACATTATTGGCTATTGGCTTTTTTTGGCCAGTGTAGCTGATGATCTCACCAATAAATACAATATGACTTCTGGCCAGAGCCCCTGGATGCTGCATGCGTGCACACAGCCACAGCATGCACGTGGCCAGGAATAGTTGGGCAGCATGGAGAGCAGCTCTCTGCAGGTAAGTCTGGAGAGGAACAAGTGAGAAAAAGACATGAGGGGGCAGATTGAGGCACCTCACAGTGACAGAGGGAGTGGGGCAGGGTCAAGGGGTGCTGCCCAGCCAGAGTGGTGAATGGGACCCCAAGCAGGCAGCAGGACAGAGCCATGAGTGGCCTAGTAAGGGTCGGCTCCCTGCCACTGCGTGCACACCAAAGGGAAGCATGCAGGGGCACGCATTCCCCAGATTTGTGCACAGGGCAGATGCAAGCTGCTTGTTGTGGGCTTGGGGCTCTCCATTCTGCTGCCTTTGCCCCAGCCACACATCCCCTGCCTATTCGGCAGCAGTGGCAGCAGCAAGTTGTGCCTCCTGCTGCTGGATGAGGCATGTGGCCAGCACACAGTTCCCAGGGGCAAAGGTAGCAGAGCGGAGAGCCACAAGCCCATAGCAGGCAGCCTGCCGCCACCCTCACCCCACTCAGCTCTGCTCCTAAAAGCGTCTCTGAGCTTAAAAATGATGGCAGCAACACTTGAACTAAAACTCATTTGACAAGCTTTAGTTTCACAGTAGTTTGGGGTCAGAAGGGACCTGAACAGA